ATAGAACTACGCGCAACGGCGTCGGCAATTGCAGCTCCAAAACCGGATCTCGACGCCACAGCGACAAAAAGACGATTTTGCAGCACTTTCTAAAAGGATTTTAGAAGGAAATTCACTAGCGCCAAAATGAAGAAAATCTGCTGACAAATCTCTGTGGCAGCCTTCATGCAGCCACTCCAATACGATTTATGAGAAGCAGCTGCAAGAGACAATAGTATGACGCATGCAGGCGCAGTGCCAAGGAACCTTGACGCAGCCATTACAATGCGATCTGCAGGGACTGAGTTGCAAAACACAAAAGAACTACGCGCAACAGCGTCGGAAATTGCAGCTCCAAAACCGGATCTCGACGCCAAACCGAAAAAAAGACGATTTTGAAGCACTTTTTAAAAGGATTTTTAAAAGGAAAATCAATAGCGCCAAAATTGCGAAAATGTACTGGCAAATCACTGTCGCAGCCTTCATGCAGCCACAACTCACCAATGGCCAAACGATATTCCAGAGGCAAAAGCTGTGACACAACCGTTTGAGGGATGTAGGTGAATGATGCGTTATCAAGAGGTGCCTGTCCGAAGTAGCCCGGTCTCTGGCCGGCTTGGGCTCTACTTTCTTGAGGGGCGGAAGTGATTACCCTCTGGTAAACAAACAAAAAGCCATTGAACATGGCCCAGTCGAAATCGTTGATATCGTTGATTTACCCATTAATAGCCATGGTGATTTTCCATAGTTTTTTGTAAACGTCTACCAGATTTTGATGGATTTTGGGGTATCCCATTTAGAGCAGCATCCTCATTTTTTTCGATGGTCGCTTCACCAAATCCCCGCCTGAACGAGCTGCTCAGCCTTCTTCGCTGCCTCAGGTGGCTGGGACATCCCCGACACATGGAGGCTTTATAGGATGAGAACATATGGAAACATATAGATTATAGGGGAAAATTGTTATATGTACATGGAGGTTTTTAATCGGAAGATCATCGAACTGAGTGATGGATTTTCCAGCACACCATGTTGATCACAGAAATATTTGCAGTGTCCTACTTGTGCTTTTCAGCGTTTTTATCTTCTTTTTCCCAACCAATAAAAAAACGAAACCTCTATGATATGTCTGTACCGAAAATATGACTGCTTTGAGCAACAAAACCATCTATATAAGTATATGTACCTGTAACATATAATCACCACCAACCTATAGTTTAAACTCTTCTATCTTCTGGGTCGCATATTCATAGCTGGAACAACCGGCAAAGTCTTAGGAGATTTCAGCAGCTGTTGGGAGTTCATCAGCCAAAGTCTGACCTGCAATTTGGATCCTGGGATTTGGATCGTCTCAATCTGCACCGATCAATTTGCCACCGGCGCAGCTCTTGGACTTCGCGGTCCCCGTAGGGAATGGCCACTGCGTTTGATAACCTGCTTGGCAAACCTTGCACCAAATGGATAAAAACTCATCCAGTCACCGACGCTACATCAGCTAACCCACACATCCATGAATAATTCTGCATAGTCTGTTGGTCAAATTCACATGTTTGGTGCTTCAACACCCTTCACCCAGGTTTTCCCTAACTTTCATGGTGAAACAACCTTCGCACGTGAGTTTATCCAGATATGCCTTCATTTTTAGCAGTCATCTCTCCGGAGAATTTAGTTCACCAACCTGAAATGAGACTTGCCAATCATCATTTTGAGTGACGTCGCAGTGAGGTTGCAACATCATTCATCCAGATTTTTGCCAGGTAATATTGGTATTGCGCAATGTCATAAACATATAAACCACCCATATAAACTGATGGTTTATACACCCCGTGAACATCGCGCACCCATAAAGCCCCTTGTGCTTGATGGTTAAGTTCCCATTAAACCACTATTAATCATCAGAATATAAGTGGATAAATACGTATATGTATATATATATACATGATCATAGTTGTAAGGGTTATACTGTCATATAGAAGTTATACGTCATATAGTTGTACCGTAGATATCCAAATGGTAACTCATTGGGGATGGTTTGCTGTTGCTGTTGCTTTACTAACATTATAAGTGGATATATAACGGTTTCTATCCTAACTTCTGGAGGTTTTATAATTCACAACCACATTTTTTTGCCATAACAGTAAGCATGCTTTGATAACCGGAAATATTTGAGGTCTGGCATGGTCTGGCTAATACATGGTAATACCTCCAATTATCAATTACCAGCCATTTAGTAGTCATTTCGTAGTCATTTCTCCCACTTTTTGGCTCGCGAAATCATCCCATCGCCCAGACACCCGCATGGCCGCGGGGAAGTTCTCCCGCATGGCCTAGACGGTGCTAGATTCACCATTCACCAGCAAAAATGCCATGATATTTGAATGATACAACATGACAATTTTATGGTGTTTAAATGGTATAAAACAAAATAAAACAATGGTATAATTTATAATTATTGATAATTATAATAGTTGTTCAATGAACTTTGAATGGTATAACCTGTATAACATGGTAAAAATGGCTGTTAAAATTTTTAAATGGTATTTAATCAATGGTATTTGAATGATATTGTATGGTAGCAAGTCGGTGAACCATCAAATTCGGGTTCTCGCCCAAGAATAGGGGCTTCTTCCAGCTATTTCAGGGGCGTGGTGAAAAGCTGGGCTATGATGAGTGAAGTCACATTTTCAGAGGATTCAAAGGGAGACCCAAACCCTGATTTATTTGAGGGTTGGTGGTTAGGAATGTGGTAATGTTCAGATTTTGCCGCAATGGAGCAAAATTAGGTTATAACTTCCAGAAATCAAACATGGCTTACTTCAAAGTATCTCCCATTTAGATGATTTTTTCCTTTTTGACCCCTCCATTTAGCTGGAGAGATTTCCCTTTTCGGCCCGCGGTAACATATCCACACCTGCAATTCGGCCACATCGTGCAAGGCTTTTGCCTCCCACCTGGTCAGACGTGTGGCTGGGGCTGAAAGGATGGCTTTTAGCTGATACAAACCTGAGTTTATTGACAGAAACTGGGGATTTACACAGCAAATTAGGCTTCAATTCACATTCCAAGGCACCTTCCAAAAAAGCCCAGCTTACCAAGCAAGGAAATGGATATTTAGATCAGAAACCAATGGATTTGATCAACCAATTTCATCCATGTTGGATACCCTCCAACAAACATATCCGTTTGCCATGGACATTCACATCATTGTGAAGAGGTAAATCATCTATAAGTCTATAAATGGACCAACGGACCATCTGTACCATAGCTATGTTCAATTGCCATGTTGGAGAATCTTGGTGGATCAAATTCCAATATTAAACAGTGCATAATGTTCGTGCTTAAGCCAAGAAACATGTTGGACCGTGGGACATTTAGAATGGTGGGGTCTTACAGTTGATAGACAGTTACAGTATACCAACGTTTATTCAAATGAATCTGTGGTACTCCAGCAACTTGGGTTACTGTAAGTACTGTGCGGCCAATTGGCAAAGCTTGCCTGCACCGTATTCTTGTAATAAAGCTGTTTTATATATATATATATATATCCGCATTTATAGCCAAAAAACACAGAAACCCCCCAACAAAAAGAATTCAACATACACCACTAAGTTACCTCGAAACAAAAACATATTTTTAAGTTTTTTTTTATAAAAAACTGTCTTGGCTCATTCCGTTCATTCCCTTCACTTTACCCAGGGCATCCCAGGTTTCCATGGCACTCGACCTCTGGTCCACGCCTGCGGTCTTTTTCCTTCTGGAAGAGGTACTGCGCTTCAGTGGCATCTTGCACCTTACGGCTCCGTGTGCCCGGCTCGGGGCTCGGCTGGGTACCACGCTGGGCGAACATCGTCCCAATGCTGGGCGGAAACACCGGCAACATGGGGCGGACAACCAAATAAAAGCAATCAGAAAAATGATAGAAGTGGGTATAACATGGTATAACCAGTACGTCATGATGATTGTAATAGCAAAAATGGATCTTCAGAAGTGAAGGACAGCCATGGCCAGGAATCTGCCGTCTGCCTCAGACTTTCCCATGACTTTCTGCAAGTTGTTAGACAGTTCCAAAACGAAAAATTGCAGAGCCCAATTTGACTTCAATTTTGGTCCGATAAATTTTTACATCTGGTTGGTGGTGCATCTTGAAAAATATGAGTTCGTCAATGGGACTGGGAAGGATTATTCCCATATATGAAATGGAAAATAACAAATGTTCCAGAAGTTCCAAACCACCAATCAGTCTTTGGTTTCTTTGGGTTTTATTATAGATGCACGATTTATCAAACACGGATCCAGCAATACCAAATGAACATGTCCGCAAAGAGGGTGCATTTAAGCGCTGACTCACATTCATACTGCGACTGTTACAGCAAATAAAATATCAAATCAGCATTTCCTTGGATAATGAAAGCTCTCTCGGGGTTTTCTCAGCAGACTTGCAAGGACCGTTCCTGATTTTTACTAGATTTTATGAGATTTTACAGTGGCCAAACTAAAGAACCATCCGAAACAACCATCGTCTTTAGTGACCGAGTGGGGTGGGTCTCCGCGCTGCTTCGCCCAGCCTTGGTGTCAGTGGCCGGCTCGCACGCTACCGCAATCTCCGATGTGTGTCTTTTTGAGGCACCCAATAGGAAAAAAAAAACATGTTTTTGGCACCAACGGGATATAAAATCTTCAGCAAATCCAGGTTTGTTTACCTGCAGACTTTTTGCACACAGCAAGCTCTCATTACTATCCGGTACCAGTTTAGGCATGCCCAAGATTTGAGCATCAAATCTGCCCCTCAGCGCTCCCCTCCCATTTTTCGAGTGTACATCCGCTAAAGTCAACACATACCCCAAGAATTGCTATTCCAGTGGTTAAACATAGTGAAACAATCTTTTGGAACCATTATCAGATTCACTGTTCAAGTTCAACCGTGTACTTATGCTGCCTAAACTTGGGGAACCAAGCTTTAAAATCAGCAAAACCTGGATTTTTTGCCCCTGTGATGGCTTAAAATCGAGCTACAAACCGTCCCTTCACCCAACTGGCCATCCAAGTGGCTCTTGCGCCATCTTATGCGCGCAACTCTTCACCAACAGAGCTCGACCTGGTGGCAAAAAAATGCAGCTGTCAAGCCCCTTGGTCCTTGGAACACTTGGAACACATTTAAAATTTCACCCTCTTGAGCCACCCCCAAAAAATCTGGAAAACCTGGAGATATGGGATTGAATGGGATGGATCTGTACACTTGACATCTAGTTTAGGAATAGATCTGTTCAAGCATAGGGGTCCATATGACAAAGGGGGCCAGTATCACCGGGAGAATCTGGGCCATGGCTATTCTGGACCATGGCGGAGGATTTGGTATCTCGGGCCATGACCAATCTTAGGTACTTTTTTGGTGGAGAGGTTAGCACATGACCCATTTGTGGCAAAACATGGAGATCGTCGTCCATCCAGTCGGCTTTCCCAAATGTGTGCATATATACCACAAATCTAGGAGGTATGATCATCCATCGTTGTAGGTACGAGAAAGCACCTTTGGCCATGGCTATCTCAATTTCACGACCAACGGGAGTGGAGAAACTAGTACAGAAAATTTAGGAATATTCCTCACTCTTGTCTTGACGTTCAGGTTGTCGCCTCAAACGTGCCATCGTCGGATGAAAGCGGCCCCTGCTGTGCAATTTCTGTTGGAAGAAAAATGCTGCCATTGCAGAAACTGCATCCCAGGCATCAGTTTTCTGGCTAACAACATATAATATAACATAAACATATTAGATCGCAGTAAGATAAAACAAATGGTTTGCAAACAAAAACACAAAAAAAACATGGGAGTTATATCCAGATAATCATAATATGTTGATTAATGTTGTAACCACCAAAAAATTGCGCTTACAGTTGGCTTATACAGTTTTTTGAACCCACAAAATCGCCGCCGCCGCGCCTTCATCGTGGCGCAGGCCGTGCTTTCGAAAAATGGCCCGCGCTTTTTTGGCTTCGTCTAAGGCCTGGCCGTGGCGCCATGGGGGTTGAAATATGTTGAAATGGGATTTATGCTAGATCTATTTAACCGTTTAAACATAAGTGCCTTGTATCATCGTATATCTTACAACCATTCATAACCCACTTATATAACTGGTTCATAGCTGGCTTTTGAACCATGACATATTTCGCGATTGATGAGACGGGATATAGCCTCGAGAAAAATCCCCGGTTTCCATCCGATCCGCCGAGTTATTAACATGGCTACCCTTGGATACCCACCAAGAAACAACAAATATGTTTTTCTGGTAAACTCATAGCTATATCCTAATTTATCCCACATTAAGGCAAAATGACCTACCCAAAAGTCACTGAGTCGCTTCACCCAGTTAAAGGTCAGCATCTGTTTAAAAGTCCACTGATTCATGATCTTCCACGCAATCACATGGTCGTAGTAAAGGCCGCAGCACGTCATGATTGGTCGATATCCCCGAATAACTGGGTGTTCAGTGAACGAACGGGTTTTTAATACCAGCTTTTCAACTATGGTATATCAACTAACCAGCTTAACTAACCAAGTTTAAAATCTTCGGCTATATCAACTAACCAGCTTTTCACTTCATGCATGGTACGTTTGGCCACAGCCAATGATTGTTTCATGGGTCTCCCACTTGCCAATCCCATGGTCTATCATCGCGTTCCACCATTTGGGGGTGCTGTGCGCAATTCTGCACCGCTGACACCCACATATTGAGGGGCTTAATCTCTGTTAAACTAACATAACTATGGAAAATCACTATTTTTAAAGGGTAAATCAACTAACTATATAATATAAATTACAATTTTCAATAGCAAACTGTTTGTTTACCAGAGGGTAACATTCCCAGGGACCGTCTCTTTATCTTGGTCTATGTCGAGGCCAAGATGTGCAGAAGCATCCAAGGTTTCACCAGTCTCCATTCAAATTGACCATTGGATCATCCATTTCAATAGGAATTTCTATTGTAAACCATCCAGCTATTGGGTACCACCATTTATCTGGTTGGTGGTGCAATAACCATCTTGAAAAATATTAGTCAATGGGAAGGATTATCCCTATATGAAATGGAAAATAAAGAATGTTCGAAACCACCAACCAGTTACGGAAACCCCCATTTGGGTTTTTGAAAAAAGGTGTGCAACCTCCCTTTTCATTGGATCTTTTAACAGGGACTTGCTGGGAAATCCCCAAATTTACTTCGGCAAAAAAAGCCCAGCGACCCGCCATGGAGCTGATGACAGAGGGTAAATCCCCAGCTGTTTTTGGTTTATATTCCTATGATGTTCCCATGATGTTTCCATTATACCACATAAAATCCCATCCATTTTTGCTGGGCATATCGGTATATCCCTTTTTTTGTCCTATTACAAACCAATGAAATAGTTGATTTTCCCATTCAGCTAGCCTATGGTACCCCAAAAACACAACCCCCAAAACTCATCCGGGCTCTGAACTTCCCCACCTCACCCAGCTTCTTGCGTCCCATGTACGCCTTGGGCGTTGGTGCTTTCACCAGCTGGGGAAGTGACTCACTGGAAACATCTGGAAACCACCAAGGAAAGTTAGGAAAGTTCCGTGGCTGAAACACCGGGAATCTGCTTGGCAACTTGAACAACCGTCATCTGAAAACAGTAAGTTGCAATGGATCGATTTCAAGAATGGAACATTTCCAGGAAACCTTCGTAACCACCAAATACATGTGCCCGGCTTTCCCTTGTCAGTTTGGGAAGCCGTTCCGTTGAATCCCAGTTTACGGGCCAGTTTGGAATTGCATTGTCCCATACAATCCCCGCAGCAAATACTATTTGGGTTTGTCTGAAACTAGGGTATATTCCCAATTATAGCCATTTAATAGGGATAATGATCATTAACCATTGGGTTTAGGGGTACACTATTTTCAGACACACCCATTTAATTATACAATCTGATTGGTGGTTGAGCGATTTATCCCAAAACGGATTATTCTCACAGCAGATGCAAACTGTTTGGATCAATTCTATCGGGGTTGCTTTTTGAGATCTGTAGGTACACTACTACACTACTCGCAAAATATGTTGATTGTATTTACCCTCTGGTAAACTAACATAACTATCAAAAATCACCATCTTAAATGGGTAAATCAACTATAAATGGCCATTTTCAATAGCTACGTTAAATTACCAGAGAGTATACCACCTTTTCTTGATGGAACATCCCGATGTGAATCAGACAAAAACCAACACGTAAACTCATTTGTGTCTCTGGTAATCAACAATGGAACATTTATAGATTATTCTCCCAGCTATACATATCCATTTTATATTTTTTTATAGTTGATTTTTTTCAGCTAACCACGTTTGATAACACCCGAAAGCGATTCCCCATGATTTTGTTGGTTTATATCATCATTATATTCCCATTATACCACCATGTTTGATGGGTATTGTTTAATTTTGGATGGATAAATATAATCACAATGCATCCCAATTTATATAATTCAATAGAGAACATCAACCAATTATAGATGATATCCTGATTGTTAACCATTTAAACATCAATTTCTATGGCTTACATCAATTTAAATCATCAATTTTCCACGATTTCCCATGATTTTCCCACGTTTTATGCTCATCTCCTGCCCTTTTTTCCCTTCGTTTTCCGTTGTGAATTTGTCCGGCTGAGACCAAACACCGACACGGCGGCGTGTCTGGCACCCGCTTCTGCCACCTGGCCAATGATCGATTGAATTCAAGTAATTAGTTGATTAGCCTCTGGTAATTTGTAGTGATTTAATGGGATATTAATGGGATATTACCCTCTGGTAATTGAACATAGCTATTGAACATGGCCCATTTAGTTCGTTGATTTACCTGTTAAAAATGGTGATTTTCCAGCTCGCTATGTTAGTTTACCAGAGGGTAATCACTTAGCTAACTTTCTTGAAATATCTTGAAATCACTATGATCATTGGGGTTTGGATGGGTTTGGTTCGTACAAGCGCGTTATAACGAACTAGTGTGATGGGTGAAACTCAACCAACAAACATCACTGGGCCCCACCTTGCAGCTGTGAGCAACAGAGTCCCTCTGGAAAAACAGGAGGTCGACCAAAAAGTTGTGAAGAAACGGAGGGTTGGCTAATCCAACAACTTGCAGGAAAAGGACATCTGTGACGCTTTTCGTGGGACCCAAGGTTCCACGCATGTTGATGTGAGTACATGTCTATTCAATAACAACTGAAAAGCCAATCCAGAAATTGGATCAGCAGCAACAAAGATTTCCTACAGCAAATCTTGATGGCAAAAGTGCGGTGGGGTAGGCGTTTTTTTGCTGGGGTATGATGAGGCTTCTCGTTTAATTTAGGCTAACCGTCTGGCAATTTAACATAGCAATCGATAATCACCATTTTTAATACAGTAGGTAAACCATTGAATTAAATTGGCGATAGCTTCCATGGCAAAATGTAACCAATCGCCATAGGGTAATAGGGTAATATTTAACATGTTCAAATCCCATCCTCTCCGTGCGTAGGCGAAATGGGATTTCTCGGTGATGAAAGTCCTGTTTCGAAGTTGCCGTGCAAGTTCCTTGGGACTGCAGGACCTGAGCAAAAGGTTGCCCCTTGGGCCTTCACCCGACTGAGTGCGAGAGGATCCATGGCCTTCCAAGGCATCTCTGATCGATCTTGTTCCTAACAATGCAGTCCCCAACCGTTACAACTGTCATTTTGAGCTCCGGCAAACGGAAGCGCTCCCGCAGCTCGTCAATTTGGAATGCTTCTGGAGCCCACCTGCCTTTTTGGAACAGATCTTCGTAAGCGTCAAAAGGAATGAGACACATTGTGCTTCTGTGGGGGGTGTTCAACATTAGTGGTTTTCAATGACGTCCTCGTGTATTATATATATAATTCTCATCACACCCGCACATATTCCCATTATCCCGTTTTGTAGCTGTATTCACATCTTAGTTTACTGGAGGGCTGTTGATTCCCATTGTATTCCAATTATAGACTAAGATGATGTTCCATTAAATTCTTAGCTTTGTTCTTAAAGCTGGTTTGCCTAATGTTCATGAATCCGCATGAATCATGAATGTGTATTGGACACCATTCTTTAGGGGAGTTCCTTGACCAAAAACAACTACAAAGATTGGCAAAACAATTCATTCCACCATCCAAAATGCCATCATAACATATACCATAACATATTAAATACATTGTACCATATATTTATAAAACAATGTATAATATGATGTTATACATTATTGTAATATATGTTGTTATTTATAAATATATATATATATGCTGTATATATTATTCCTACATATCCCAATCGTAAGATACATAAAAACCATTGAATCCCATCCCCAGGCGACGCCTGATCGCCCAGTTCTCGGAAGATGACGATGGCTTCCTTGGAGGCACTTAAGGCCTGACGTTGGGCGCCACGCTTGAAGCTGGCGTTGGTCGAAGTGAGGAAATCCTGTGGATTCTTAAGTCTCAAAATTAAGAACTGACCATTGAAACTAATTTCTTACTTTAGTTTAAGATGATTTACCATTTGTTTTTTTTCACATGGCGCTGCTCCAGAGCTAGTTTCCATGGAAAGGTTGGTTCTGATGAAATGTTGACGTCGTTTGTATTATTCTGAAGTTACAAAACCTTCAAAGGATCCATTCCCCTTGTTTTAAATGTTGGTTTGAATGCCGATCTCGTTGGATAATTTCGTGTTGGTTCAACTGGCTACTTGGGAACTGGCTTCCCCTAGTGGATTATGGTAATCCAAAAAGGTCTTGGAGAGTATAATCCCCATCTCCTGTTGGTTTACAGTATTTCAGAATATGATTCCGGGTAAATTATGATATTTCACTAACTTAAAATTAAGGCCATTTAGGGATGATTTCCCTGTTGTTTCCCCTGCTAACCATCATTCCAGTGAGGTCGCAGTGAAGTCGTTATAATTTGCCCAGATGATTGTAAACCATTGGTTTTGGGGCTCGTGTTGTCCTTGCACGACTTGGCCCCAAGTCATGACTCCTCTATGTTTTCCCAGCTTATGGGGGTCAAAACACCATAGCTATAATTACTGCCACTAGTAAGCCATGTGTATCCCAATATGGCCTTCATTATATCACCATTTTTCGTGCTTGGTTCAGTCCCCATGTTCCTGATGAAAATTCACCAACCACTAGGCCCATTAGTATATAATGGTTAGATGATGGTTAGAAAACAACAGTATACCCATTACTACAGGTATAAACCGTCTCTTAATGGTTGTCCATCCTCATTTTCCCAGCGATGGCTGGTTCCTCACTGCTGGTTCCTCACTGCTGGTTCCCCTTGTCGCATCCCGGTGAACCAAGTTGTTGCCCATGATATTCCCATTTTTTAGAGGATGCATTTCATGGTAAACGCCATTCGGGTGTCTACTATAGAAATGCAGTTCCTTCCACCCTTCCCATATTCCGGTGCAAAAAAAAAACACGGTAAAACCACTGGAAAATATCCAACCATCAACCAATAGTAAGCCAATAGTACCCACATAGAATATCATCAAATCGTTGTTTTTGTGACTTAATATCCTATAGGGATGAAATCCTACAATATGGTGCTCCCCCCAGTTATAAGTTGGTTTATAAACCCCATTAACTACAGTTATCTATAGTTATATCTACGATAAGCCATAGTTGAGCCACTTACAAGGCAACTTAGCTATCTTGGGGGCCCCATCGTATATGGTTGTAACATATAACCTATATATATATATACCCACATATGCAGGTTTCCTACATGGGGGGTACCCCTAAATCATCCAAAAATTTCCTATTTCTTAGTATTGAAAAATATTGAAACCCATGGTTTTGGGGATCCTCCATTTCGGGAAACCACCATATACCCTATGGATCCCTATGGCTCTATGGTTGTTGACGCTGCCTCCACATGTTCCTCACGGGCTTGTTGCACCTGATGCAAAGTCGGCGATTGAAGCAGCAAACACCGGGCGACTTAAAGCAGCAACAAATCTGATTTAAGCAGCAAAACTGGTGATTTAACACGATTTAACGAGCAACAATGGTGATTTAAAAGCAGCAAGACATGATGATTTTACCAGCAAGACAATGATTTCACCTGCAAACATGGTGATTTTCCCGACTTAAAATGAAGAACACGGATTCGAGCAGGAGGTAAAACTTTCAGTTCCGCCCATGAAAGGATACTGTGATTTGACTGACCGACCCAAACAGGTATTTCATCAAAGAAAATGAGAACATGATTGATGTGTATCTAAGATTGAAATCTAAGTCTCAGGAACGGCGCTTGAGCCAACTTAAGCTTGGGTTCAGCCCCTGAAAGCACGGATAGGGTCAGGAGGAAATAGACCATATGCCCAGACCTGCAATTGGCAACAGCAGTTAGAGGATGTACCAGGTACTGTTTTCAAAGGCTACCTTTCAGGTATCCGGCAAACGGGTATAATCTTTCCAAACGCCAAACCCCGTAATCGTCACAGAAATTAACATGTTTCGATGATTGAATCGTACAATTTCAGGCCAAACCTTGGAATCCCGTAAAAACATGTGTTTTTTTTGTTTTGCCGGGAACAAGTATTATCTGTTTGTCATGGTCATCGTAGGTGTCCAGGAAAAAACAACTATGATTCATACAGATCTATAGCCAAAATTAGCCAAACATATCAATAATACACTATCATCGTTTTAATTTAATCCACCAGATGAATCTTTCGACACCAATTGGCGCGAACTACGCGCTCGAGACCAACCCCACACCTTTAACGTCTTTAACGGTGTTCGCAAGGACCCGAACACATGAGCACATAGTCATCGGTGATCTTCGCAGCAAGATTCACAATAAGTCGGGCATTCTAAGGTAACCACTCTGGTAACCGCCATAAACCTACCGTAAAAATGGTACCAGGTCTTGCCTGCGCAAGGCTGGCTAAGGCTTGTCCTGGATGTCGGAAACCATGGGGAAACCATGGTGATTTTTAGCTTTTCCAATCAATGTTCCCATCCAATTCTGGAAGTCCACACCAGAAATGTTTGGGCTAAATCACTGCAATTCACGCATCGATTTCGGAATGGTAATGATGGGTGGTCATATCAAAAATTGATCATTTAGTAGTGGGAATCATCTTAGACATGATTCATCACTATTAATCGAGATAATTCATCCAATTCTTCGGGTAAACTACACATTTTTTCATGACCTCGGCCAATGTCGCCAAAACTGGTCCTGGCTTCGATAGAAAATAAGACATGGGATTGCTATAATTTATAATAGTATAAATGCCTACTTCTTTTGGATTAAGAATAAACCTAGGGGAATCTATTGGGATTGGTTATTCATGTTTAAATGCTTCATTCGTTGAGGGCTAAGAGATTCCCCATCTAAAATGGTGGATTGATCAATTGTTGAGTTCAGCAGGTCAGCATTTTTTTGAGTATTGTAGGACTTTTTTCGAGGATTCCTGGGATGATCCAACCCCTGCAGCATGTCCTTCCAGTTTTTTCTTCTTGGTCCTTTTGGCCACTTTCACGGCCTGGCGCTGGAAGTCGCTGCCTAAAGAATCTGGAATACACTGGACAAAATTGAATAAACATGAAACACGGCAAACGTCACCAAAATTAAGACTGAATTAGATTAATTTGGCTTTAATTAGGGTTTATGTTTTTTCCCCTAAATAAGGCCTTATTAAGGCCAGATTAAGGCCTTAATTTTTCTGGGGGAGGCTAGGGGGACGGGCGGGTTAGCTGTCTATGAATAGTGAAGAGTTCAGCTACATCTCGTACTCCACGTGCTGCGGCTTCAACGCGTTGGCCCCATCTGCTCAGCTCCTTCTAGGGCTATTGGAAGACAATTCATGAAAGCAATAATCAACGCCGTGATCTGATTTCTCCGGTCCCCATCTCCCGGGACTCTAAAAGGGTCAAAAGACGCCGGACCTCAGGCACCAATAGTGGTCATGGGCAAACCCGTCCTCTGAGCATGCTCCACATAAGGAACAATGGGAAGCTCATGCAAACCACACCCAGCCCGCCGCGCTGCCATAACCACGGGCGCGGTTGGTGTTATTAATGGGTGCAACATTGTGTAACTATGGGAATGGGATCTACCCTACCTAAACTACCCCCCCTCCTCCCCCCCCCTCAAAATAATTTCCAAAATTATTTTCAGGGGGTTGATAGTGTCTTCGGTTGTTATACGAAACAACCCTCTTTAGGGTAAAATAATTTCTTACGATAGACCCCCCCCCTCCCCTTCATCGACGGTGGTGAACCTTCGTAAAAATTATTTCAACCCCTGGGGAGTTAATTATTTTGCCCCCCTCCGGAGACTCCAATCTTTACATATGTATACTTTGGGACCCCCCCCCTACCCGACATGATCGCATTCGCAGGTGTACCGGGGATATTCCATCCCTTCAAGAAAAACGCGGGGGTATCAACCAGGTTTTGGAATATGTTTAAAGAAAACATGTTGTTGAATAAGTTTCCTAAGCAGTGGGCCTACGGATGTGCATATTGGAATATGCGAGTTATAATCTAAGCCTTCAATATACCCTGGAATAACTATGTTTTGAAATAATTTCATCTAAATTTTAAATGGTTGAACAAAAAAAAGATTAAAGAAAAACACTTGGGGATTCCCGCAAAATGATGTTCAACCATCATCTTCATCACTGGCTCTTTCCTACATATTTCCATTTTGTTCATATATACTTCCCCACATTTCTCTCACATTTCTTCATTACCTTCCAAAGAACACTCGGTGGGAATGAGTGTGAAAGGGAAAGCATTCGGTGTTTATAGTTTTTTTTCAGCTGGCAGCTGCTCACTTTGATTCTTGAGGAGCGCAGGGTATCTCCAATACCCCTAAAATAATTTCTCCCCTTGGGAAATCCCACGGAATGGTATTCAACCTGGCCCTTTCCTGTAGTGATTTTCCTAACCTGTCATATTTCCCATTATTTCTCCCATATTCCCTAACTCATTTTTGGGAAGCGTTCGGTTTTGATAGGTTTTTCATTTTTTTCCAGTTTATGGGCGAGTTGGATGGTTCTGGCAGCTGCTCGCTTTGGTTTTTGAGGAGTGCAGGGTATCTCCAATACCCCTAAAATAATTTCTCCCCGTGGGAAATCCCACAAAATAGTATTCAACCTGGCCCTTTCCTGTACTGATTTTCATAACCTGTCATATTTCCTTTCTCTTCTTCCATATTCCCTTCATTTCCCTCCAAAGAACTCTTTTTTGGGAAGCGTTCGGTTTTGATAGGTTTTTCATTTGTTTCCAGTTTATGGGCGAGTTGGATGGTTCTGGCAGCTGCTCACTTTGATTTTTGAGGAGTGCAGGGTATCTCCAATACCCCTAAAATAATTTCTCCGCTTGGGAAATCCCACAAAATAGTATTCCTTTCCTGTAGTGATTTTCCTAACCTGTCATATTTCCTCTTATTTCTTCCATATTCCCTTCATTTCCCTCCAAAGAACTCGTTTTTGGGAAGCGTTCGGTTTTGATAGATTGTTCAATTGTTTCCAGTTTCTGGGCGAGTTGGATGGTTCTGGCAGCTGCTCACTTTGAATTTTGGGAAGTGCGAGGCATCTCCAATACCCCTAGAATAATTTCTCTTGGGAAATCGCACAAAATGGTATTCAACTTAGCTCTTTGCTATAGTGGTTTTTCTAGCCTTTCATGTTTTTCCCTCTTTCTCCAATATTCCCTTCATTTCCCTCCAAAGAACTTTTTTTGGGGAAGCGTTTGGTTTTGATAGGTTTTTCATTTTTTCCAGTTTATGGGCGAGTTGGATGGTTCTGGCAGCTGCTCACTTTGGTTTTTGAGGAGTGCAGGGTATCTCCAATACCCCTAAAATAATTTCTCCCCGTGGGAAATACCACAAAATAGTATTCAACCTGGCCCTTTCCTGTAGTGATTTTCCTAACCTGTCATATTTCCCATTATTTCTACCATATTCCCTTCATTTCCCTCCAAAGAACTCTTTTTTGGGAAGCGTTCGGTTTGATAGGTTTTTCATGTGTTTCCAGTTTATGGGCGAGTTGGATGGTTCTGGCAGCTTCCCACTTTGATTTTTGAGGAATGCAGGGCATCTCCAAGATCCTTTGAATAATTTCTTAAAGAACGAGTTTGGTTTCGAGTTGCAAGTTTTGATGCGTTCTTGCTGCAACTTAAGATTGAGGGGAGATTCTGACATGACTACCAGGGAGCACACATGAAACATGATGTTGAATTTATTTGCGTTGTAGGATTCGCAACGCATCAATCCTAAAAAACAAAAAACCTAAAAAATAATAAGCCACTTTTGCAAGTCCAACATTGCGCAAGATGGGATATCGCATTGTTCTACATCGTTTCCTCCGAAAGTTACAACACTGCCATCACTGCGAAGAAGTGCTGTGTGAACACAGCCTGCAGAACCTTGAGTGTACGACATTCCTTCATCCAAAGGTGGAATATGCCATCGGATCAAAACAGGGTCAAACACCAAAATTATTTCGAAATATTTTTTTTGCTGTGAGAGTGTTTTCGTCAAAATTATTTTGAGGGGGGGTAACCCATCAAAATAATTTCCAACCAGAAATTATTTTGGTGATGGTTAGAGTCTATAAATCTATACATCCAACATGTTAGATTTTTGAAATTATTTTGGAGGGTAACCCCCCCCTGAAATAATTTCATTAAGGTAGGAGGGATGGAATGGGAAATAACCCAACACAACATATGGTTGTAAAGGGCCGCGTCTTAGTGGATAAGCGACGCCAGTACAGCCACCAGATCCAGCTGCCATGAGTCATCCCCTGGGATGCTCACATCAAACTAGCGATTTATGAATCTCCATCCCACTATGGCCATGTGTGTTTTTAGGTGATCCATGGCCATGTAAAACATGTTCTTGATGATTTGATTTGATCAAATTCTTTTGGATCGTTTTTTTCGAAATGGCCATGTTTCCCGAGTTCCTCATTACCCACCCGAAATCTTTGGTGAATTTTGGTGATTTCGGGAACTTGCACATCATCATCCATGCTGACGGCAGTGAGGTCCTTGGTTGATATCCCTGGGGTTAAACCCTGACTATTCGGGTGGATATCCAACTATATCCCTCATCAAATGGTTTCCCCAAAACATCAAGAAGCACCGTTTGTTAGTAATACCCATAATATCGAATTATATACCCCATGATTGGTTTTGTACATGTATTTTCGTTGGCTAATACCCCCATGTGGCGCTTTTTCTCATGATATCTCCAGTTATGTATAATAATTATATCATATTATATCAATATTATATCGCCAAAAGTGTCTTTGTTCACGTGTCAACAGCACAAAGACTGCTTGACCGCAGCAAGTGATGGACCAAGCGTAAAGCTGTTAAGTTGCTTATTTGTTAGGTTCGGGTACCCAAGAAGAGTTTTGAAGCAATAAGTTTGGGTCCAGTTTGCAACAAGGGTTTTGCACAAACACTCCAAAATGCAAAACTCTTCTTTCAAAAAAATGAAGCAGTCTCACACGCACTTTTTTAGACGCAACCCCAAGCGTCAAAGTTTTAAGTGTAGAGTGTCTAAAGAATCTAGAGTTTAAAGTTTAGAGTGTTTCATTTTTCACCAGGCTTATGAAATTATCAAGATGAAGGACCCCTTTGAAAGGAAATCTTGTTATTTCACAATGTTTTCACTTAGATTAGTTTATGGATTTTACCAGGTATTCACCAGTTAGAACTTTCACCGGTGAAAACCTGGTGAAAACTTGCCTTTTTTTTTAAATAAACTTGCTTACAATGACGGACCAGCACTTAGAATATAAAACCTTAAGAATTGCTTAGCTGAGCTAAGCCGCTCTTCGGGAAATAGGGTTTTCAGAGCTAGGCCGAGAACCTTGGTCTTAGAATATGGGCCCATGCACTTAGAATATGGCCACTTAGAATATGCGCAAGAAGTTTCTGGTTGTACAGGCAGCCGTACTGCATACCGTAGCATAGTTAACTGCATTTATACTGCACATATCCATATTCTAACTGCATCTTTCACCACCAGAATTCACAAAGAAAACAAACAAGTTTTACCGTACCAACCAACCTTATTGAAAACTTTGACCAACATAATCCACTGCATGTGTCTCTTTCAGCATGTTGGAAAACAGGACAGAACCCATGCAAGAACAAACATGGTGAAAATTGCATTGCGCAAGTTGGTTGCTGGTATTTTGTGCGGTTGTGTGGTGCTGCTGGTATTGGCTGCGAAGTGAGTGAGGGAAAAAAACCATCCAAACCTATCCATATTCTAACTGCACTTTTCACCACCAGAATTCACAAAGAAAACAAACAAGTTTTACCGTACCAACCAACCTCGGGACAACTTCGGCCAACATAATCTACTGCATGTGTATCTTTCAGCATGTTGGAAAACAGGAGAGAATCCATGCAAGAACAAACATGGTGAAAATTGCATTGCGCAAGTTGGTTGCTGGTATTTTGTGCGGTTGTGTGGTGCTGCTGGTGTTGGTTGCGAAGTGAGTGATGAAAAAAAAACATCCAAACCTATCCATATTCTAACTGCACTTTTCACCACCAGAATTCACAAAGAGTACAAACAAATTTTACCGTACCAACCAACCTCGGGAAAACTTTAGCCAACATAATCTGCTGCATGTGTCTCTTTCAGCATGTTGGAAAACAGGACAGAATCCATGCAAGAACAAACATGGTGAAAATTGCATTGCGCAAGTTGTTTGCTGGTATTTTGTGCGGTTGTGTGGTACTGCTTGTTGTTTACGAAGTGAGCGATGAAAAAAAAACATCCAAACCTATCCATATTTTAACTGCACCTTTCACCACTAGAATTCACAAAGAAAACAAACAAATTTTACCGTACCAACCAACCTCGGGAAAACTTTGGCCAACATAATCCACTGCATGTGTTTCTTTCAGCATAATGGAAAACAGAACAGAACCCATGCAAGAACAAGCATGGTGAAAATTGCATTGCGCAAGTTGTTTGCTGGTATTTTGTGCGGTTGTGTGGTGCTGCTGGTGTTGGTTGCGAAGTGAGTGAGGGAAAAAAACCATCCAAACCTACCCATATTCTAACTGCACTTTTCACCACCAGAATTCACAAAGAGTACAAACAAATTTTACCGTACCAACCGACCTCGGGAAAACTTTGGCCAACATAATCTGCTGTATGTGTCTCTTTCAGCATGTTGGATAAACAGGACAGAATCCACGCAAGAACAAGCATGGTGAAAATTGCATTGCGCAAGTTGTTTGCTGGTATTTTGTGCGGTTGTGTGGTGCTGCTGGTATTGGCTGCGAAGTGAGTGAGGGAAAAAAACCATCCAAACCTATCCATATTCTAACTGCACTTTTCACCACCAGAATTCACAAAGAAAACAAACAAATTTTACCGTACCAACCAACCTTATTGAAAACTTTGGCCAACACAATCTACTTTATGTGTCTCTTTCAGCATGGAAAACAGAACAGAACCCATGCAAGAACAAGCATGGTGAAAATTGCATTGCGCAAGTTGTTTGCTGGTATTTTGTGCGGTTGTGTGGTGCTGCTGGTGTTGGTTGCGAAGTGAGTGAGGGAAAAAAACCATCCAAACCTATCCATATTCTAACTGCACTTTTCACCACCAGAATTCACAAAGAAAACAAACAAATTTTACCGTACCAACCGACGTCGGGAAAACTTTGGCCAACACAATCTACTGCATGTGTCTCTTTCAGCATGTTGGAAAACAGGACAGAACCCATGCAAGAACAAACATGGTGAAAATTGCATTGCGCAAGTTGTTTGCTGGCATTTTGTGCGGTTGTGTGGTGCTGCTGGTGTTGGTGGTGAAGTGAGTGATGAAAAAAAACAATCCAAACACATCCATATTCGAACTGCATTTTCCACCACCAGCACCAGAACTCACAAAGAAAACAAACAAGTTTTACCGTACCAACCGACCTCGGGAAAACTTTGGCCAACACAATCTACTGCATGTGTCTCTTTCAGCATGTTGGAAAACAGGACAGAACCCATGCAAGAACAAACATGGTGAAAATTGCATTGCGCAAGTTGTTTGCTGGCATTTTGTGCGGTTGTGTGGTGCTGCTGGTGTTGGTGGTGAAGTGAGTGATGAAAAAAAACAATCCAAACACATCCATATTCGAACTGCATTTTCCACCACCAGAATTCACAAAGAAAACCAACAAGTTTTACCGTACCAACCAACCTTATTGAAAACTTTGACCAACATAATCTACTGTATGTGTCTCTTTCAGCATGTTGGAAAACAGGACAGAATCCATGCAAGAACAAACATGGTGAAAATTGCATTGCGCAAGTTGTTTGCTGGCATTTTGTGCGGTTGTGTGGCGCTGCTGGTTTTGGTGGTGAAGTGAGTGATGAAAAAACAATCCAAACACATCCATATTCGAACTGCATTTTCCACCACCAGAATTCGAAAAGAAAACAAACAAGTTTTAAAGTACCAACCAACCTTATTGAAAACTTTGACCAACATAATCCACTGCATGTGTCTCTTTCAGCATGTTGGAAAACAGGACAGAACCCATGCAAGAACACACATGAAAATTGCATTGCGCAAGTTGGTTGCTGGTATTTTGTGCGGTTGTGTGGTGCTGCTGGTGTTGGTTGCGAAGTGAGTGATGAAAAAAAACCATCCAAACCTATCCATATTCTAACTGCACTTTTCACCACCAGAATTCACAAAGAGTACAAACAAGTTTTACCGTATCGACCAACCTCGTGAAAGCCTTGACCAACATCGTCTACTGTACGTGTTTCTGTCACCACGTTCGAAAACAGGACAGGATCCATGCAAGAACAAATATGGTCAAAACTGCATTGCGCAAGTTGCTTGCTGGTAGTCTGCGTGGTTGAATGGTGCTGCTGGTGTTGCTCATTGGTGGTGAAATGAATGCAGGAAAGAAACCATCCAGTCATATCCAAGCCGGCCATATTCTAACTGCACTGTTTCACAACCAGGATTCACAAAAAAAGAACTTCTTGTACCGTACCATCCAACCTAAAGGAAATATTTTTCTCTCTCTATCTCTCTCTCTCTCTCTTTCTCTGTGTGTGTCTCTCTCTCTCCCTTTCTCCATCGCTATCTCGGGGTCCGAGATAAAAATGTGGCCAACATAATCTACTGTACTCGTTCGAGACAAATGGATGGATTTCAGCATCTATTTCAGCATGCCGGAAACCAAAACAGAATCCATGGTACCATGCAAGAGCAAACATGGTGAAAACGTTGCTGGTATTCTGCGTGGTTGCATGGTGCTGCTTGTGTTGGTGGTGAAGTGAGTGATGGTAAAAACCATCGAAACCATATTCTAACTGCACATCTTCACAACCAGAATTCACAAGAAGACAAACAAGTTCGTACCGTACAACCCCAACCTCTGGGGAAACGTTGGCCACTATAAGACTATAATCTACTATACTTGTTGGCGACAAGTTGATAGACTTCAGTATCGATTTCAGCAGCCAGATTAGAATCCATACAAGAAGGAAACATTGTGAAAACTACATTGCGTTATGCAAGTTGGTTGCTGGTATTCTGCGTGGTGCTGCTGGTGCTGCACATTCTTCACCACAAGAACTCAGGAAGAGAGCAAACAGCCTGTACCGTTCCAACCAACAACTTTAAGGGAGAAAGATTGACGACAAAACTTGTGTTCGAAAAGCATTGTTCCCACAGCAAAGCCACCAGATACGCATCTGTTTCAACAGCTATGTCAATTCCGTCGAAACTCACAGAACATATAGTCATATAGCCATACATACTATGTCCTGTCATGTCATATTCTATCTGCACCCCAGCGACAATTCACTTCGATAAATCCCCAACTTTCATATTCTAACTGCTGGTCCCCGCTAGTAGGGGTGAGAAAAAAGTGAGAGCAAATTATTGGCTGGAAGGATGTGACATTCAATCTCATGGTTTTTGTATGTGTTGCATTATTTTTTGGTCGTTATACTGTACTGGCTGCAGGCAGTGCAGTACTGT